CTACACCGTTCTTCAGGAGTCATGTCCTGCCAAGGACAGGCTGAGAGTAAGTCTTGCTGCAGGCTCCCAACTTTGTGGGCTTGGGTCCCCGACCCAGATACTCCCCCATTCCACTGCCCGACTACCCTGTGGCACTAGAGCTCACGGTAGGGCCTGTGGGGCCACTTACAGTCCCTGTTACTGTTTATTGGGAAGGCTTGCTATTTTCAGCAACAATATGAGATGGTAGGACTCTTGTTCCCAAATCCGAGCAGCAAATTAACACCGTGACACTGAGGATGAGCCTACGACATGAATATAGCCTTTCCCACATGAATCACTTTACACCAAGTCATTTTTGCCCATGGATCAAAAGCTTAACTGGACAGCTGGCAGCCCTCTGTGTGTCTTGGCAGGGTCCCATCTCAGATTAACAGCTGGAAGATGGGGTATTATGCATAGCTTAAGCTCCGTTTCCCAGCTAGTGCTCCCTTCAATGCAAAGCCTGTGACAATGTTTTATTAGAAATGTGATGCCAGGAAACAAGGAGGGTAGGGGGTGTAGATCAGAGAAGGAGGGAGGGAGAGGCAATACGATGTGTGTTATGGAGCTGGCTAGTTCTACAAAAGTCTGTTTGCTTGTTCTGGGACCATTTGAAAAGTTACATGAAATATAGCTCAGAATTGCCTTTGGAGGAAAGAAAAGAGGAAGCACTTGTCTATAGACTCCAGCCTCTTATTGGTCAAAAGCTGACCCATGGGGGGGGGAGGTCTGGGTTATCCTCCACAGTTTGGGTGGCACACAAATGCGTGCTATGTGGGTTCCCGTGGGCAGCTCAGAGCACAGCATCTGAAATCGTGGGGCGGGAAACGCGGGGTGCAGGGCCTGTCTGAAGGGAGGCACCATTGGCTGCCCCTGCGTGAGGCCTGCAGGTGCCTGCTTGGGATGGTCAGCACAGCTATGGAGGAGATAAGAAGTTAAGAGCAGCCTAAGTGGTACAATAGGCATCTGCTTTCCTCGGCCTTGTACATATTCAATGTACTCCCGCCTCCTGCTGTCTCTCTCTGGGGCACTCTGAACAGATGGGGGGTGTGAAAGCTGAAATCCTCAGCATGCATGTCTACAAGTTCCTCCCTGCCATCCTTCCTCCCATAGAGGTTTTTCTTAATGTCATTCCATCTCCCAGGAGATAGAAATGGACGATTGACCAATTTTCTGAGTGAGTGCAGGCCATCTGGAGGTAGGAAACACTGTGTTTTCTTTTTCCTTTTTTTTT